GGGGGTCTTCAGTCAGAGTAAGTGGCACCAGACACTTAAGTAGACGGCAAAATCACCACCTGCTACCAGTTTTTGAGAAGGTAGTGCACGGATTAAACTGACACTTCTTTCAACAAATAAAGAAAACCAGACACAGTTTTACTCCAGCAGGGCGGGTCAGGCTGTCATCACCCCCACCCTGCTTCTGCACCATCCCTGACCTCCCTGGGACTTTTGTATCTAAAATGTACCTTTTGTATTAAATGTTAATATATTCAGAGCGTTGTCATCATCGGACAGACATATGCAACTTGTGCGAGTGACTAAACGTCGGGACAGAGAGAGAGAGAGAGCGAGTGTGCCACTGTGGACGCACTCAGCATGAGTCTCTGCATGAGACAGGCTGCATCTGCTGCTTTAATTCTCTTTATACTACAACATCTTCCTTTTTCAGTTTAGTAAGCCAGGGTCAGAGCGCCAGGGTCGGAGCGCCAGGGTCAGGGCGCCAGGGTCGGAGCGCCAGGGTCGGAGCGCCAGGGTCGGAGCGCCAGGGTCAGGGCACCAGGGTCGGAGCGCCAGGGTCGGAGCGCCAGGGTCGGAGCGCCAGGGTCGGAGCGCCAGGGTCAGGGCGCCAGGGTCGGAGCGCCAGGGTCGGAGCGCCAGGGTCGGAGCGCCAGGGTCGGGGCACCAGGGTCGGGGCGCCAGGGTCGGAGCGCCAGGGTCGGAGCGCCAGGGTCGGAGCGCCAGGGTCGGAGCGCCAGGGTCGGAGCGCCAGGGTCGGGGCGCCAGGGTCAGGGCGTCAGGGTCCCCGCCTTCGGCCACTGCTCATGGCATCATGTGCCTGACTTTTATGACCCTTCCTGCAGGTGGTGGGTCCACAGGTGTGTCAAACTCACTTACAAAAGGGGGCCAAGATCAAAATATTGTTCAAACTAAGGGCCGGTTTCAGGATCTACATGAACTCAAGTTGGATACCCAACATCTTTTCTTGGTTGCAGGTTCCTCTACAAGAGTTTGATTGGTCTCATTTGATGTTCTCAGTTGCACTTTTGACATAATCAAAGATTACAGAAAAAATTCAAGTGAAAAAAGTATTGCATGTTGAACATTTCATCTTGGGGGCTAGATAAGATGTCACTGAGGGCCACATTTGGCCCCCGGACCTTGAATTTGACATATGTGGTCCACAGGAAGTCAAACCCATGTTGCTCCTTCATGCTTCGACTTTTTCTAAAATAAAATAAATTTAAAAATCTAGGAAAAAATAATTCATTCATCCATCCATTTATTATCTTTCCCCGTGTCTTTCTTTTCGGGTCGCGGGTGTCACTGGTGCCCATGTCCAACCATCACAGTGTGAGAGTCGGGGGACCGGTCTCCAGTCCATCACAGACAAATAACTCAAAATATATAAATACAAAAGTAAACAAGGACTTCAGCCTTCCATACATAGTACATTAACCTTTGATTCAAAATAAAATAGACATCACAGGGTTTTTTTATTTATTTATTTTTTACCATATTGCATGAACATTTGCAATATTTTCAAAACATGACCTAATATGAAATATACAGACTTCACAGTCTTAACCATATTGATTCATATTTGGTAAATCGTTAACAACATTTCAAAATCTGTGCAAACCTGCTCATAAACCTCCACACGCCTCCGTGTTGCACGTTTGCTTACTACGGGTTGTTGACCGGTGGCTGGGCTGGCAGCCGGGGTTAGCATGTAGCATCTTAGCTAGCATGTCTGTATTGTGCGTGGCTAGATTTAGCCTTAAGATTTGAAAAGTCTGTTTGATGGTGTTGTAGAGAGTTCTTTGTAGGATGGTGATGGTGGTAAGGAGAAAGAAGCCAAGTAACACAAGTTTTCTGGAAAGTAACGTTAAATTCAGTGTACGGTGTGAGGAAGGAAGGAACACAGTGACAGAAGGAGACGCTGTTCCAAGTGGATTGTGAAGGAAAGGAGAATAACAGTTATGAAGTGGAGAAACTGGCACCGAGGTGGAACCTGTAAATTATTCTGTTTTCATAATGACATGCAGGTTGTTGTTTTGTTTGTTTGTTTGTTTCACCTGCTTGTCACTGTGTACTTTAGTGCTGTGAAGGCCACATGATGCCAGCTCATTTTCTGTTATGAGTGGGCTTATCACTAACTCAGGTAACGGTTAAATGCCCCCTAAATTCACTGCTGCTGGTTATTAAAATGTTCCATGGGTAAAGTTAATATTCTTATTTTTAAACATGCAGTTGGGTGTCACCATTGCTTGAAGCATTCATTACCTGAAGCATGTTGTCTTTCCCCTGCTTTTCTTCTTGGGAGTGTAGCAGAATGCTTACTTTGCATGTTAAAATGACTACATCTCCTTGGTGGGAGGGGGCAGGTGTGCTTTGTGATGCATCACGTGCTGGAGGGGGAAATCTTGGCAGCCCTGCTTGGAGAATCAGCTGGAAGTTTGTTGCAGAGTTCTCTGAGCTGCTGCTTCGCCTTTCATCTTCCTTCCATGCATGTGTCTTATTTACTAAATACTGTACCGCAATTTTATTTTCCTCTTCTTACAAACAACCGCACTTTTGTCTAGCTCTGTCTTTCCCGTAACATTGTTGAATTGAATTGAATTGATTGATTGATTGATGATTGATTGCTTGATTGATTGATTGATTGATTGATTGATTGATTGATTGATTGATGATTGATTGGTCGGTCGGTCGGTCGCCCGCCCGCCCGTACACTGAGTTGTAACGATGGAGTGGGTCGAATCACGCTGTCCTGCAACAGACTCCATTCAGATAAAGGGAACTGACTAGCTTGCTGTACGGTGGCCTACAAGGCCAATTCTAGGGTGACAGGTGGGCACGTAATGTGATCTGCAGTACGCTTGGGTGTAGGAGCAGAAAAAGTAAACTTAAATGCATTTTAAAATCTATTTATGGGTCTTTAGAATTGATTTAGAATCACCAGGACTAGGAATAAGATTCTTTAATGAATCCATTTTTTTCTGCACCCCTACTGTACTGATTAAATTATATTTTCTTGAGATTTTTTGCCTTCTTTATTGTAAAGTTTGCTGACAACCAAAACTTTTGGCGGACAGCTTGTCTAGAGGTTGCTGGCTGGACACCCTGGAGAATGTCCTATGTCCACCCCTTGTTATGGCATTGTCTTGTTGCTCATCTTGAAATATCAGCGTTTCATTGTGTTGGTGTACACTGGATCCATGCGATGCTCCGTAACACTGAACAAAACGTCTTATGGTGAGTACTGTTGGTAGTAATCAGTCTGCCAACTATAAATACCTCTGCATTAGGCATAGTTTGTCAATGAAAGGTGGTTAATTGTGCGATTGTCCATGTGTGTTACAGTGTCTTGAACTGCTGA